AGCGTGGGCCAGAGGAGCGGAGAGCTAGGCTCCATCTGGGAAGCCTTCTGCCAGCTGCAGGATAAAATCCCTCAGCTTCCTACCCTACTCCTAATCCGCCAGCCACTGCCTAGGACCACTCAATCCAGGGATCCTAGTTCCCCCAAGGATGCCAGTCCTTAGAAAAGTTCACACCTCTGCCAGGCACAGCAGAGGGATGCCCATTCACTGATGGCAGAACCTGACGGCCATAACATGAGAAGCCCTCTCAAGGCTGGCTCCAGCTGCTGCACTGGCACAGAGGTTAAGAGCTGGCAGTTTAACATATACCTGAGGATGCCAAGCACTGCTGCCTCGTGGGCAGAGCCCTGCCATCCTCTCTTGCAGGGACAGAGATGCCAGGCCAGACACAGGTGTGCTCTCCTACCCATACCAATGCCTCTCCAGGTGCACACGAACACACGCTGCTATACCTGTGAGCGCAAACGTTACCTGGCTAGCATGTGTACCTACAGGGTGAACCTCACCTGCATACTTCGGCTGCAGGTAGAAGAGCCGGGCAAAGGAGAGCCTCTGCATCTCTCCTGGGGACAGAACATCATACCTGAGGAAGGGGAATGAGAGAGGCCCACTGGAGGAAGGAGGCTATAGCTTGGCTTTTGCACAGAATGGTCTGGGCAGGAAGAGGCTCTCAGCGCAGACAGGCTGCCCCAGGACGGATGGATGTCACCCCCCTTTCCACCACAGCCCTGCTGCCTACACAAGGCAAGGCCAAAATTCTGTACCACGGACATGAACCAGGTCCCCAGCAGCCCAGCAAACCCCTAGAATTTGGGGTCAGAAGTCACTTCATCCCTTGCCCAGGGCTCTGGGACCCACCGTCTTTGGGGGAGCTGGCTCTGGAGCACCCCAAACTCCTTCTTACCAGTTCCAATCGACCTGCTGGTCCAGACCCTCTGTCCTTGCCACCAAGCTGGACTGTAACACACCCAGAGGAAACGATGTCCATGAAAGGGCCCATCCCTGCTTCCTGCTATCCTGAGGACCTCCTCAGTCCCACCACACACACCCGAGACACAGCCACCCCTGGTCGCGTACCAAGGTGGGGCTGGGGGAGCAGTCTGCCCCAGGCAGAGAGGAGCAGTCCGTCAGCCACACTGTTTAGACTTGCTGGAACGTGGTGACCAGAAAAAGCAGGCTGATGTAGTCTTATTATTGTTTTAAAATTTGCTAGAGGGCTTCCCTGGTGGCGCAGTGGTTGAGCGTCCGCCTGCCGATGCAGGGGACACAGGTTCGCGACCCATAGGAAGATCCCACATGCCGCGGAGCGGCTGGACCCGTGCACCATGGCCGCTGAGCCTGCACGTCCGGAGCCTGTGCTCCACAACGCAAGAGGCCACAACAGTGAGAGGACCGCGTACCGCAAAAAAAAAAAAAAAAAAATTTGCTAGAGTGTGGACGCTACTTGTTGCCTGTACCTGGCGAACAGCTCCCACTGCCGATTTATACACCCATCGCCCTGCCCCAGGCTCAGACTTCCAGTCCTGGGGCAGGGACATTAGGGCCAGCTCCACTGGGCCTGCACCTGTGGTCTGTGCCACCAGGTGGGCTTGGACCTCAGGGTCCCTGCCCTCACTCACCAGGCCTGCCAACTCCAGGAACCTCATGATCCTCTCATCATCAGCAGAACCTGCAAAACACAGAAGCCTTCAAGAAGTCAGCTCCTCTGGATAGACAGAATAGATGGGGCATATCATGGCCGGGGGCCCCAGAATGTGGGCCAAGGCTCTGAAGCGACAGGTTACATACAGCACTTAATAAACACGGGAAGGACCCAGTGAAGGAAGTAATCCCTTCCTTTCCCCCAGAGGGGGAGACAGAACAAGATGAGGTCAGGGTACAGACCCCCGAATAGTAAACAGTCAAAGGAGGAGGTGGAGGGGACCACACCTGAAACCAGCAGCCTGGCTGGGGCCTCTTCCGAAAGGTACAGGTGAGGCCATACAGGTGAGGCCACAGTCAGGCAGAGAAGAGACAGTGGGATGGGAGGTTGTGTCCTCAAGAGGCTCAGCTCACCTGAGTCCGGATAGATCTCCTTCAAGGGATATATCACCTGATAAAAGAAAAAACCACATGGGCCTAGGGCAAGGGCCAAGGAGAGGTGGGGCTGCACACAGCTATCCCCCCTCAGAAACAGCCCCAGGAGCTGCCAGAGGCCAGGCTCCTCTCCACCCGAGGCTCCACTCCTGGCTGAGGGTCTGGTGGGAGAGGCGGGGCTGGCAGACAGCAGGGCAGGGCCCCCAGAATCCAAGCTGGTGTTCAACAAACACATATGATATTTGGCTTACGGCCTCCACAGGTTAACCTGCCCCCAGAAGTTGCTCTGAGTACATGGCCTAATCCATAGAAGTGAATAAAATGTCCTTAGAGCCAGGGAGTTCCTGGGCTTGGCTCATTTTATACCCCACCTGCTGTCCCATAGCTCTCCAGGGCTGAGACCTGTCCCACCACCAGGGTCCAGGTTGGGGGGAAGGGGTGGGAGGAGTGGGCCCCGGCTAACCTGCTCCCGAAGGGTCCCGTCAGTGAAGAATGGCTTTTGTGGCAGGAACAGCACCCCGTGCGGTCCAAAGTCCATCAGCATCTGCACTGAGCCTACAGAAAGCACCATTTTAAGATCTCCCAGAAAGGTAATTGCCCCTCACTCTGCTTTCCCAACAAGAGGCTTGATTCTTACACACATACCCCCCAGAGGCCAAGGCTGGCTCAGAGCAGGGAAGGCTGGCTCTCACCCCATGTGCTCGCCCAGAGGCCACCCAGAACCCGGAGCAAGGAGGTCTTGCCGGTGCCCGTGTTGCCTGTGATAAGCAAGCTCTGCCCCTCAGAGATCTTCAGGCTCAGATCCTTGATTAAGGGTTTGTTAGAGGAGGGGGCGGAGATGCAGACCCGCTCAAGGAGAAAAGCTGTATCTGTTCGCTCTGTTGCTGGCCATCCCGGGGCCCTAGGGTGCAAGAAGGGGAGAGATGTTGGGAAGATAAGTAGTGTCAGTATTGCTGGGGGCATCACCTCTGGACTGGAGGGTTGCCATGGGCTGAACTGTGGCCTCAAAAATCACATGCTGAAATTCCAACGCCTAGTACCTCAGAAGGTAACCGCATTTGGAGACGGGTCTTTAAAGAGGTGATTACATTAAAATGAGGCCCAGGGGCTTCCCTGGTGGCTCAGTGGTTAAGAATCCGCCTGCCAATGCAGGAGACATGGGTTTGAGCCCTGGTCCGGGAAGATCCCACATGCCGCAGAGCAACTAAGCCCGTGCGCCACAACTACTGAGCCTGCGCTCTAGAGCCCGTGTGCCACAACTACTAAAGCTTGTGCGCCTAGAGCCTGTGCTCCACGACAGGAGAGGCCACTGCAATGAAAAAAAAAAAAAATGAGGCCTTTAGGGTAGGGTCCCAATCCAGTATGACTGGTGTCATTTTAAGAAGAGGGAGAGACACCAGGGGTGCACAAGCATAGAGAAAAGGCCATGTAAGGACACTGAGAAAGCAGCCATCTGCAAGCCAAGGAGCAAGGCCTCAGGAGAAATCAACCCTGCTAACACCTTGATCTTGGACTTCTAACCTGTAGAACTATGAGAAAATAAAATTCCATTCTTTAAGCTACCCAGTTTATGGTACTCTGTCACGGCAGCCCTAGCAAACTGCTAGAGATAGATTGGGCACCTGCTCTGCGGCAGGCTGGGCAAAGTCCTGCCCATGACTGATCTTAATCAGTCTTATCAGCCATGAACCACAGCTATTATCCCCACTGGGCAGATGAGGAAACTGAGTCAGGTGGCTGAGTAACCTGCTCAGGGGCACAGAGCTGCATCTGCCCAATTCTAATGCTGGTGGCATTATATGCATTTTCATGGCATCACCGTGTGACTGATGGTAAGAATGGGAGTGGAAATACTAATATAGTTTTGGAGTTTCTGGCTCTCCACGGATGCCCATCTCCCCCACAGAAGAGCATCTCCAGTTCCCTACAGTCCCTGCACCACCAGCACCGCTGCCCCCCACCCCACTGGGCTCAGAGCTGCATGAAGCTTTAGTTCTGAACAGAGGCAACAGTTAAGGCATTAGCTCCTAAGAAGACAGTTGAGTGTAGACCCTGAAATCCAGCCTGTTTTCATTTTTGAAAGCTTACTCTGTGGCCTCCGTTCAAGCACTTTCTATGAACTATGATATCTAATCCCCACAACAACCCTAAGACAAAGGTTCCATTAACGTCTTCTTTATAGAGACAAAGAAACTGAGACACAGAACAGTTAAGTAGTTTGCTCAAGAAAAGTGAGGACATGAACAAATCCTTGATGCACAGAAAGGTCAGAAACATCACGGAGCCTGCAAAGATACAGGAATAAAGACACCTCTGGGCCTGAGTGGGGACAAAGAATAGACATGCCCCAAGGAAGGGGACTGGTGGCAGGGCTCAGCGAGGAGGAGGTAATAAAGGAAGAGGAGGGATACAATTCAGATTTTTGTTTTGTTAACTCAGGCCCAGGCAGATTGTACTTTGTTTCCATCAGCTGGGGGATGGTGTAAATAAACACAGATGCCAGAAGAGCAACACTGATGGTGAACATTTACAACGTGCCTGGCGTAAGACAGAGCTTTCCTCATTTGCTCCGCCTGACTCTGCTGCCCGGCTGGGAACGGGCTGGGCTCCAGGGTGCTTCCAGCACCTGCATTCTCCACCACCGAGCTGCACCGCCAGCCCAGTGCTCACCTGGCCAAGTCCCACTCGCTCTCGTCCAGGATCTCCCCATCCCGTGACTTCAGGGTCATGTGCAGCAGGGTCTCCTGAAGCTCCCCGATCCTGGGCGAGAAGTGAAAACCTGAGCAGGGTCTGGGCGCCCAGGTGAAGGCGTTACTCCTTTTCCTCTCTCACGCCCACTAGTGTATGGTGAGCTTGTCTGCTCCTGGTTTCACTCTGCTACTTCTCCCTGCAGTACACGCTTTGCTCAGCACTAGAGGGGCGGATGCAGCCTCACCTGTGGGCGTGCCTAGGGGGGCTGGACGCACCTGTGTGTGTAGCCTGCCACATCGGAGAGAGTGGTGGAGAGATCGATGAGCCGGGTGAAGCAGCTGATGAGGTACATGCACACAAAGGCGTTCTGGACAGGACAGAGGGCAGTGTGCGCGGGCCTTGACTCCAAGGCCCTGGGTGCTGGGCCAAAGGGCAGGGGGGATGGCATGAGGGGGCCCCCAGAAGGGATTCTCACCTTGCTGACCAGGGTGCTGAGCTCTGTGGGGCTCAGGTCTCCGTAGATGCCGCTGAAAATGGGGATTGAGATCACGACATAACTCAGGATGCTGCCCAGATAGTCAAACATGTTGACGCCGACTGAGGAAGACAGAAAGACCTAGGGTGAGAGACCTGGGAAGCAATCCTGCGCTCCAAGGGGAACGGGAAGCCAAGCAGGGTTAAGCTGTTCTGGGCATCCTCACTCTCCTGAGGTCACTCATGGCAAAGGCAAACTGATCAGTGCAGAGAGGGAGGAGGGAGTTGTGGGGAAGGAAGCAGACTCCCCCCCGCCACCACGGTGGTTCCTGCCTCCCGGGGCTCCCTGCACCTACTGTACAGCCAGAGCTCCTTGGACATCAGCTCCCTCTGGGTCTGAAGGAGTCTCTGCAGCCTGCGGTCTGTCCTCATGTGCTCCACGTGCCCAGCTCTGATGAGAAAGGCCGGGATGTCCACGGGGCCTGGAGAGCCTGAGCCCCGCTCCTCACACTCCCCTTTAGGGACCAAGCCCACCCAAGTGATCTTCCCCTCAGACCCTTTCGGCCACCAGCAGCCAGCCATCGCTTCATTCATTCAACATGGTATTGTCTGCGGAAAGACCATGAACTCTAGACTGGGCAGACCGGATTCAAATCCTGGCTCTGGCCAGTTACTAGCCGGGTAACACTGACAGGTTATTAAGCCTCTGAGTCTCAGTTTGCTCATCTATAAAATGGAGCTTATAATACCTACATAATAGGCTAGAGTGAGAATTTCTGAATGTAAAGCACCAAGCACATGAGGGGCTCCCAATAAAAAAGAGCTGCTATTATTAAACAAATATACATGCAGCAGTCACTAGGCGGCAGGCTTGGTGCTAGTTAGCCAGCGAAACAGTTTTGGACAAAAGAGCCCCTGTCCTCTAGGAGCTCTCAGTTCAGGGGGGCAGGCAGACGCGCTGCATTCTTCACCTGGAACACGGAAAGTGTTACGTAAGCTGTGTGTCTTCAGGGCTATGGAAGCAAATAGGGACTCCTAAGGGAGTCTGGAAAGGCGCCCAGGAGGAGGTGACCTGGAGCTTCAAGGATGGGCAGAAATTCTCCAGGCAGAAAGGTTGGGGGAGGACAGAGGAAACGTTTCAGATTTTGCATGAAGGACAGAGGCTGCAGGAAAACACACTCGGAGCTCCAAGCATCAACCTGCTTTCCCCAGGGCCCAAAGCTTCATGAGCAGCGACTGCAGAATCCAAAGAAACCCAGCGCAGGCCCAGCCCTACCTGGCCCCCACGACCTGCCCCACTCATAGATCCCTGGTATCCTTGGTGCCCCCAAGTGGTGGCAGCTACAAACTGCAGCAGAGACGGACAGAAGAGCAAAGTCCCAGGGCTATTAGATCCAGGTGATCCAAGGAGTAACTTCTACTCCTTAAACACAAACCTCTGGGCCCTTACTGTCAATCCAAATACTGAATCCAGAGTGCTCATAGGAGGCAGAGTGCAGGGACCTACCGTGGCCCCGGGGGAAGGAATGGGGTTTCACAATGCTGCTGTCAGGAGACCACTTTGCTCCACTAGGACAGTGTCTGTGGCGAGCAGGTCTTCTGAGCTGAGAGGCTCCATTCCCTCCCATGCTACAGAGACAAAGGATCAGCCTGGGACGTCAGGCACCGGCAGAAAGCCATTTTACAGACAGAAAAGCAGAGGCAGAGGCAATGCCTTACAGTCATTAGTAAGATGATGAAGCATTCACTCATTTCATTCTTAGAAAAAATTTAGGCCCCATGCTAGGCCACGAAAAGGAAGAGCCAGTTTCAGAAGCAAATCCATGGACCTAAGGATGAGGCAGACGAGCATAGTGAGACATAAGGGGAGAGGGTCACAGCCAAGTGTGAGGACGCCTGGCCCCTGGCCTTGGTGATGGTGGGAGGGTTGTTTCCTTCTCCACCATCTCCACTATCAGCTCTGACAAGGCAGAAGGGGAACTATCCCCAACTAGACTCACCTGAAAAAAGCAGCAGGCTCAGCATTCACCCGGATCTGCATGTGCTTGAACCTGGGGAGACCAGAGGCAAATGTGTGCTGACAGCGGGCAGGAGAGTCCTGGATCAAGAAGACCTCCAGGCAAAGAGGAGCCTGGCTCCACTCCAAGACTGTGGCTGCCTCAGCCCGACCTTCCCTGGACTGTCACAGGGTGGGAAATTCCAGGCCCGGGAGGGACGGCAGGAGACCTGCAGACACGGCAGCCACCTGCCTCTCCAAAGAGGACAGGTGCAGGCCTGCCATAGCTCCTCTTCTTCCCAGGGCCGGGTCTGAAGGAGGAGGCCAAGAAGCACAGAGTAGGGGCTGGACCCATCGGCTGACCAGAATAAGGGTGGTTGGAACAGAAGCACGTGAGAAGGCCAAGGGATGATCATGATGATGATGATGATGATGATGATGATGATGGCCAACCAGTCACCATTCTCAGTGCTTCTCATGTATGATCTCATTAATCCTCCTTACAATTCTGTCAGTACCATCCCCATTTTAGAGATGGGAAAACTGAAGTTTAGAGAGGTTAAAGACCCCGCCCAAGACCATACGTCTAGTGACTGGCCTAACTGGGATTTAAACTTAGGCAGCCTTTCTCCAGATCCCATTCCTTAACCATTATGCCTGGCCCAGAAACCTCAAGCAAGGGAGACACACCTGAAATCCCCCTCCAGCTTCTCCTGCTGCACCAGTTTTGCCACAATGGGACCCATCAACATCTTGTTCACCACGGTTCCCAGAATGAAATACCCAAAGATGCTCACAGGCCCGAGCCAGCCGGTGCTGAAAGGCAGAGAGAGGGAGGGTGTGGGGAGCGACATATCCCCATAGGCCTCTGCTGTGACTCCTGCCCCCTTTTGGGCAGCCCCCTATCCCATCTCAGAGCCCTGTGTGGCTTCTGCTCCTGTGCGGGGGTATGTGGTACCTTGACACTGACACACCACAGGGCCACAGGGAGGGCAGGGGCCCAAGCATGCAAGACAGGAAGACTTCCTGGGGTGCAGGTGGGAGGGAGGGAAGACCAGCCTCTCGTGGACCCTGACCAGGGAGAGCTGACTCCCGGCCAATGTGTGAGTGAGGGACTCTGGGGAATCACCAGGCAGGGGAGGAGGAAGGGCTCTGGCAGGAAGAGAGCCTTCACCTCTGGAAGCACTGATAGGTGTAGTAGATGAGGGTGAAGGGGGAGATGATCAGCTTGCTGGCCATGCTGCTGAGCTGCCGGCAGAACCGCTCCACGTCCTGGCTGATGCGCTGGTCCCTGGAGCCAATGACACAGAGGGACTAGGCCCAGGGAGCTGGGCTTGAGGGTTGAGAGAGCTACGGCAGTTCCAGGTTACCTCTTATTCTGACCTTGCCTTTCAGTGCTGTCAGCAATGACCCCGTGGGAAGGGGGACTCAGACGAGGGCTCGTTTCCTAGAGGCAACGAGACCCTTAGGACTTTCGAACAGGGCTCTGAAGAGTTGCTTCCTATGGCGCCTCAGTCTACCCCTCAGAAAAAATGGCAACTGAAAGGTCCAGCACACAAGGGTCCTGAGCCAGCTTTGAGCAGAGCCAAAGAAAAACCCGAGGATAGAGGATCCGAGTTTCCAGATGATCAGGAAAGCTACGTCATTTAACTCACTCCTCCCAACCTCTCTCTCACGAGCCTGAGCCTGCCCCCATGTTAGCTATCTGGCTATGGAAGTTTTGTACAGGTTGAGCCATAGAGAAGAGGCCTAAGGACTTCCTTGGTGGTCCAGTGGTTAAGACTCTGTTCTCCCAATGCAGGGGGAACGGGTTCGATCCCTGGCTGGGAAGCTAAGATCCCACATGCCTGGTGCGGCCAAGGGGGAAAAAAAATGTGGAGAAGAGGCCTAGAAGAGAAGGTTAAGAAGCAGCAGCAGCCTCCCAAGAGTCTTTGCTGCAAAGCTCCACTTGAGCTGAGGAGATATTACGTCAGGCAACAAAGTGCTTGGGACGGTGAGGAGTGGGGAGGGAATGAGGGTGAAGAGAGACCCCACGTGTCCCATCCCACCACCAAGGCCACAATGACTCCTATTCCCAGTAAGACGTGAGCTTTGGCACGTCACTTGCATTCTCTGGGCTTCAGCTGCCTCACCTGTAAGGGAACCTGGGGCTTAGTGAACCTAAGAGAAGTGATAGAATGGTGACTGGAATCCCAGACTGAGTCCTAGACAGCAGTAGTTTTTTACTGCTGAAAACTGGAGCGCTGCTCTTCTAGCTTTTTCTAGCAAGGACACTGTCTTCAGAGGGTGCCTTATCTGGAAGCCCAGGATGTGAAGTGGACAAAAGGGAGCTGCTCTTGGCCTCTTCCCTTTAGCTCCCTGACCTCAGCCCTGCAGCCTCTCTGGGGTCCTCTGCAGGGCACCCTTCCCCCTCGGCTCTGGGCAGCAACATTTGCAGATAAGGGTGGATGACCTTATGGGGTCTGCCGCAGGGGGTCTCCAGGGCTGTGTCAGCCCAGGTGGACGAACCACGCAGAGGGTAGCAAGGACTGAGAGGAGGTGCCTACGGGTTATCGATGTCATCCCGCAGCACGTTGAGGGTATAGTACACGCGGCCCCGGAAGTAGAGGCGGTGGAGGTGCTCGGTGAGGTCCTTCCTCCAGCTCACATACAGCAGGTTGCAGGTGAACTGGTCAAAGCTCTTCAGCTGTGCAGTGGGGGAGACAAGGGGAAGGGAGAGATGCAAGCCTCTTTCTACCAAGTCTCAGCTCCAAGCTCAGGCTGGCGGAAAGCCTCTGCTGACCAGTCCCAGCCCATTCGGCTGTCCACTCAGCACTGGAGCCTGTTAGAGCGTCAAGTCATGGGATTCATCCCTTCCTCATTGACTCACGTGTTTATTGACTGCACCAAACATTGGAGGGCTTTTACCAAAGGCAAGGCCTTCTAGCCTCCTCTACAGCGTATTGTCTTACATCTCCAGAGCCCATGAGCTTCTGGAGATTGGGAACAATATCTTCTATTCCACTTATGTTCTTACTTTTCTGTCCCCCAAAACTTGGAACAGGGTCTGAATCCATAGGTGCTTACTGACCGAAGACCCATCAAAAGTGCCAAAGTGTGATGAGAAGTGGCTTCCCCAAGAAAACAGGTAGTGCAGCCTGACAGAGAGCATTAGGCTTGAGTCCTAAAAGAGCCCTGACTCTCATCATTCTGTTTATGGCGCCCCTGTACGCTAAGCACGAGGGAAGTAACAATGAGCTCACAGTCTAGTGAGGGCACAGACAATCACAAGGGTGTAAGGATTGTTAGAGCAGAGCTGAACTGAAAGGATCAGTAGTCGAAGGGGCAGAGTTTGGTGGAGGAAACATGAAGGACAAGTTGAGGAGGACTTGAAGGAGGTGACAGCGGAGGAATCGTGAAAAGTGAGCAGGTGTTAAGCAAGTGAACAAGGGGTGGGGGAAGGAGGCCATTTTTCAAGAAAGCAGCAGGTGCAAAGGCTGGGAGATGTGACAAGTGCCAGGCTCAGGCACAGCCTCGGCCCCCCCAGAGGACAGCAGCAGCTCTGGCTACTGAGCCCAGTTTTCAAGTGCTCTGAGCTCCCTGAAGCAAGAGTTCTGGGAATGGAAGGGACAAGGATCATTTCCACCAAATGCTGGATTAAACCAGAATCCTGTGGCCAAGCCCTAGGAGCTTATAACACTCTGGGAATTGGTCCCATGTGGGCCAACAGCAAGATCAATGCCCTGCCTAGAGTTTTGACCCCATGTTCCCAGAAGAGGGAGGGAACACACACCCACAGCTTGGTTCCTGCTTCCTGGTGGCTAAGTCCCACTGGGCACTGGAGAGGTATCACACTAGGCTGGAGAGGAAGAGACACAGGGAGAAGACCTTACCATGGAGTTGAGGACGATGAGCACAACAGCCAGGAATGTCAGGGTCTTAAACCCATTTAAATCTTTGTTTCCTAGGACCCCAAAGTACTGACTGGGAATCAAGCCAACCCGGTAGATCACCAGTTGTTCTGGGGGGAAGGAGAGGAGTCAGGAATCAGTGATGAGGGGTGAGAAAAGACAGAGGGAGGCTTCCTCTTGAGTCCTTGCCTCATCAACACCCCACAGAAGGAAAAGGACCTCAAACCAGGGCTGCCCTCCCCCCCACGGGCCTGGGCTCATTCACTCACCCAGTAGGGCCACACACAAAAGGGTCAGGAACATCAAGGCATTCTGTGATGACCAAGAGGGAAACAAAACCTTCTGTATCTGCAGGAACCGCTGGAAAAATTGCAGATCTAACCTGGGCCTGAAGAAGAGAAGCAGGAGAAGCAGAGTCCTAAAAGGAAAACGGAGCCTTAGAGAGCAGTTACCAAGCTTATCTACAGCTGTTGGTGGGCAGGGCGCAGGCCAGGCAGAAAGAACGGCTTACGAATGCTGAAGATGGTAGGAGGGAAACAGACCAGGGGATAAAAAGGAATTTAAGTTGATAAATGCTATGAAAGGTTATTAACTAAAAACCAATAGCTAAATTAATAAAGAAACTATAGCCACATCCTCTTTTTTGGTCACAAACAAGACAAGGAAACCCACTACATCAAGGATTTTAAGATCCTGGCTAAAGCAATAAAGAAAAAAAAGAAATGAGGCAAAAGGAATGAAAGAAGAGATTAAATTGTCATTATTTTCAAATGATGTGATCATTTACACAGGAAACACAGCAAAGCTATAGACAAAATGTTAGTGGGACTTCCCTGGTGGTCCAGTGGCTAGGACTCCACGCTCCCAATGCTGGGGGCCTGGGTTCGATCCCTGGTCGAGGAACTAGATCCCACAGGCATGCCGCAACTAAAGATACCGCATGCTGCAATAAGGATCCCGCACACAGCAATGAAGATCCTGCATGCCTCAACTAAGACCCAGCACAGCTAAAATAAATATTGTTTTTTAAAATAGATAAAACGTTAGAAATAAAAGGAGTCCAGCAATGTTGCTAGATACAGGGTTAACACACAAGTATTAATAACCAACTAGCAAATATAAAGAAAATAAGATGTCATTTACAGAAGTACAGAAAAACCATAAAATATCCAAGAATTAACTTTAAAAAAGAATGTATAAGACATTTTGGAGGAAAAACCGAAAGCTCTATTATAGAATGTGAAAGAAGACTTAAATAGAAAGACTTCATTTCTAATAGAAGTCTGTAACTGCAATGCAATACCAGTCAAAACCAGAAGTTCTTTAAGGAACTGTATATGGAAATATAAAGGTCCATGAATAGGTCAGGACAACTGTGAGGAACAGGAAAGGAGGAGGAAGAAACCCACCTAAACCATCAGGTTATTAAGACATATCATATTACAGGGTTGGAGTAATAACAAAGTATGGTATGAATACAGGAACAAAAAGACCATGCAACAGAAAGACCAAAAAGAAAAAATTCACCTATGTTTACGTGGGCACATAATAGAGATTATATCACAAGAAACACACATTATATGCCAAACCCATACTACGTGCCCAGTACTGTTCTACACATTTTATGTGTATTAATTCATTTAATAATCACAATCCTAAAGATGAGGAACTGAGGGTAAAAAGGTTAAGTAACTTGCCTTGTCACCCACCTGATAAGTGGCAGCCTTAGGGTTTGAACACAGGCAGCCTGACTCTGTGCTCTTAACTATGCTATACAGCTTCTCTAATTTTTAATTATTAATTAATTTGTCATTAGTTGAAGAAGGTAGAGGAAAATTTAGGTCATTACCTCAAACTATGTATAAAAATAAACTTTAAGAACTCCAAATGGATTAAAAATCTAAATGTGAAAAGTAACATTACTTAGTTAATAGAATGTAGAAATATCTTAATGAAAATATAATGGAAGGTATTTCTCAAATAAGACCCCCAAACCACAAACTATAAAGCAGGAAAACTAACAGATTTAACTTAGAATTAAGTATTTTTGTTCAACATAGTGCCTCAGATTAAAAGACTTGGAGAAGTTACTTGCAGAGTGGAAAATAAACAAGGTAATAAAATCTAGTCCATATAAGTAATGACTGCATCAGGAAGACAGGAAATCCACAGAAAGTGGGAAAAGGATATAAATAAGGGGAAACCCAAATGCTTACTGGAGGAAAATTAACACAATGGGACACCACCTTACACTAATCAGGTCGATAAACATCAGAAAACCAAACAATACCAAACATTGGGCGGCGGGGTGGGGTGTCGGTCATTAAGAAGAAACAGGAACCTTTAAGCAATGCTGTTGAGAAGTTGGGTGTGACCATTCCAGAGAACAAATTTAGCAGAATTAAGTGACCTAGCATCCTACCCTGGGATGGATACTCCAAAGAAGATCACCCATATCCACAAAGAAGGCAAGTGGTGCTGAAAAATTGTCCGTCACTAGGTAATGTATACGTAAACTGGGGTCTAACGCACTTAGGTAGCACCATGCAGCACTCAGAAGTGAAAACTAGATTATTATACCATGGATGATCTCAAAAACACCATGTTGAGTAAAAAGTTACAAAAAATCCCAGTATGTTATGAGGGCGGAAGGTGCTCCTTCCCCACACAGCCCCGAGTAGGACGCCCCGAGGCCTGGTCCTCCTCCCCAGCCGCCGTACTCACCGGGCGCCAGCCCGGGGCGCGGGCCCCCGGACCGCCATGACCCGGGATCCGACCGACGCGGGAGCCCAATCGCCCCCGGGTCCGCTCAGGGTAGAGTCCCAAGAACTCGCTGCCGCCGAAGAGGGGAGGGGCCCCGGCACCCGGCTACCACAGAGACGGGCGGATAGAGAGGAAGGCGCAGGGAAACGCAGCCGCTCCCGGAAGCGACCGCCTTCTCGAAAAGAACCACAGTGCTGAGTCTGTTGACCCGGCGCCTAGAGCGCCCCCTCCTGGATATGGGAAGTTTCCTCTTTGGCAAGAAGTAGCCGAGAATGTGACTGAAGTATTTTATAAGTATTTTAAACTCTGAATATAGATGTTTCATACATTCTCCCAAAGAAGCCAGAGTGATTTTTAAATTAATTAATTAATTTATTATTTATTTATTTTTGGCTGTGTGGGTCTTCGTTTCTGTGCGAGGTCTTTCTCTAGTTGCAGAGAGCGGGGGCCACTCTTCACGGCGGTGCGCGGGCCTCTCACTATCGCGGCCTCTCTTGTTGCGGAGCACAGGCTCCAGACGCGCAGGCTCAGTAGTTGTGGCTCACGGGCCTACTTGCTCCGTGGCATGTGGGATCTTCCCAGACCAGGGCTCGAACCCATGTTCCTTGCATTGGCAAGCAGATTTTCAACCACTGCGCCACCAGGGAAGCCCGCAGAGTGATCTTTTAACAACATGTCAGGCTTCCAATTTCAGTTAGAATAAAATCCAAACGTTTCCATGGCACAAGTGATCCGGCCCTCTCCCCTTGGTCTTCACTGAACAGGCCACTCTGTTTTGGCCTCAGGGTCTTTGCCTGGATCAGTCTTCTCCCTAGCCTAGAGCTTTCAGTGGCTGGCACATTCTCATCATTAGTTCAAATGGCAGCTGCTCACCCTACCTAGACCGTGCTGTCCTTGCCCCATCATTCACTGTTGCATTATCCCTTTATTTTCTTCATAATATTTATCACTGTCTGAAATCATCTTGTTTCGTTGCTTATTGTTTATCTTCCTTTATAGGAATAAATTTCATTGAGCAGGGACTCTGTCTTGCTCATTGTTGTATTCCCAACATCAAACACTGCTAGTACATAGTAAGTGCTTAATAAATATGTTAAATGTTGAATGAATGAAATGCTTATCAAGTGGCTGATCACAAGCAGCATGATCTCACAAGGCCCTAAATTTGAACCTGGATGTACCTTCCCACCTTCTTTCAATCCTTATTAAGTGTCAACTATATTCCAAACACTCAACAAGATACATGTATCACCTGTCTTCTTGGAGTTGCCAGTCTAGCTGGGAAGGCCAACCAGTTGACAGTTTTGGTTGTCTTTATGAAGCGCTATGACAAAGTGCTATACAGCAGGGTTTCTCAACTTTGGCACTATTGACTTTTTGGGCCTGATAATTCTTTCTTTGGCGAGTGGAGAGACTGTTCTGTGTATGGTAGGATGTTGAGCCATATCCCTGGCATCTACCCACTAGATTCCAGCAGCACTACCCCAAAAATGTCTCCAGACATTGCCAAATGTCCCTTAGTGGGTGGGGGTGGGGAGGAGCAAAATCCTAGCCTTGTCCCAGCCCCTAGCACTGAAAACCACTGTCGCAGAGCCATAGAGAGGGCCATCCGACTCAGGATGGGGAAAAGGAGAGAGAAAATAACTGAGTGATTCCTCGACATGGCAAGAGCTTAACTATTCCCAAGTGTGATTTCCTAAGTATGTCTTTGTTACTTTGAAAATCAAACAAATAAGGATTCCCTGGTGGCGCAGTGGTTGGGAGTCCGCCTGCCGATGCAGGGGGCACGAACGGTCCGGGAAGATCCCGCATGCCATGGAGCGGCTGGGCCCGTGAGCCATGGCCGCTGAGCCTGCGCATCCGGAGCCTGTGCTCCGCAACGGGAGAGGCCCGCGTACCGCAAACAAACAAACAAACAAACAAATAAACACATCAGGATACAATTTCCAAAAAATTAAATAAGGCAACAAGAGTATCAAAGCGAGCAACCTCACCTTGCTAGGGAAATCCAGGTTTGTAGCTCTTGTTGCCTTTCACTCTCAATAGTGTTCTGCTTTGGGGTTTGTCCCAGGGCTCTTAATGCTGTATATTACTTTAAACTTTACAAAATGCTATATATATCACATTGATCATTAATATTTTATTTTATTTTATTTATTTTTTGTTTTTAAGTGGTATGCGGGCCTCTCACTGTTGTGGCCTCTCCCGTTGCAGAGCACAGGCTCTGGACGCGCAGGCTCAGCGGCCATGGCTCACGGGCCCAGCCGCTCCGCAGCCTGTGGGATCATCCCAGACCGGGGCACGAACCCATGTCCCCTGCATCGGCAGGCGGACTCTCAACCACTGCACCACCAGGGAAGCCCTGATCATTAGTATTTTAGTTTATATTTCTTGAGGGTCTGCCTGCCGATGCAGGGGACACAAGTTTGTGCCCGGGTCTGGAAAGATCCCACATGCCGCGGAGCGGCTGGGCCCGTGAACCATGGCTGCTCAGCCTGCGCATCCTGCGTGTCCGGAGCCTGTGCTCCGCAACGGGAGAGGCCACAACAGTGAGAGGCCCGCGTACCGCAAAAAAAAAAAAAAAAATCAGGATCTAAACAAGGTCTACGCATTGCAGTCAATCAATATGTCTTTTGAGACCCTTTTAATCTATAGGTTCCTCCTCCATCACCTTAGATTAACCACTGTCATCTCTCTCCTGTCTTGCAAAAACCTCCTAATTGGTTTCCTCACTTGAATTCTTGCTACTGTTCTAATGCAGTTCCTACACAACAGCCAGGGAGACTGCAAAAATCAGATCAATACCTCGCTTAAAACCCTTCAGTGGTACCAAAGGCTCTAAGAGGTGCCCTCGCTCCACCAACCACAACCTTTTTAGGCTCCGGGAAACAACTTAGTGCCCTCCACTCTTCTGTTCATCTCTACTCTTCCTTCATCTCCAGTGTAATGTCCCTTCCCCAGAAAGCCCTCTCCTGACCACTTTCTCTAAAGAAGGACTCTATTATTCCTTCCCATAGCACCCCTTTTTTTTCTCCTCATGGCACTTATCGAAGCTTGTAATTATATTTTCAGTTTGTGTGCTTACTTTATTAATGCCTCTCTCTCCACAGACTATCAGCTGCATGAGGGCAGGGACCATGTCCACTGTATTCACCATTGTCCAGAAGCCCTTAGTAAGGGCACAATAAATATTTGTTGAACGAAGATGAGCAAGACAATTGCTAACCTCACAAAACACACAGGCCATTGTCTCTGCTCATACTATTTAATACTAGGACTGAAATTCCCCTTTTCCAGCTGCCAGGCTTGGGGCTACTTCCTCTCTCATACAAAGACAAAGGGTTTTTCTTTTTGGTTAAAGAAAAAAAAAAAAAGGAAAGTAACTTGATAATAACTATCAAGCTTTAGATGATGCCATGGTTTCACTTCCAGCTCTTCTCTTATAAATATATTTACACAAGAGCAGAAAGGTTAATCACGAGGGTGTTTCTGCAGTGTGGTAGGTAGGTAATAGCAAAACCCTAGAAACAACCAGAATTTCTATCAAAGGAGGAAAGGGTAAAAACGTATGACACAATCACTTTATGGAATACACTTTGCATCCCTTAACAAGAACGAGAGAGGCTGCATGGCCATTGTGGTTCGGAGTATGAGCTTCAGAGCCAGATTGCACGGGTTCAAATCTCTGCTCTACCACTTAATATCTGTGTGACCTTGGGCAAGTTGCCTGTTTCCTTATCAGGGAGCTGTGGAAAGTATCTAAACAGCACCTGGCAATGATCAGGGCAAAATGGTGTACTATAGAGTAGCATGGGAGAAATGCCTATGTTGTATTGTCTCACTCATTTTTTTTTTTTTTTTTTTTTTGT